GATGCGACTCGGCCGCCAGAGGCTTTCTTGGTTTTATCGGGTTTGACTCGTTCCGTCGTTACGCGTATTTCATCGTTTTGTTGATCTGTACGCTATTTTGGTGGCCGATGAGCGTGCTGGTCACTTGGTGGTGGCCGATGAGCGCATGGGCTACTTAGTTCGCCGATTTAGTGACCGGTGGGCGTGCGGGTTACTTGGTGGTGGCCGGTGAGCACGTGGGACACTTGGAGCTGACTGGTGAGTGGACAGTGCGCAGTTGGTTCGTCGATATTAAGTGCCGATGGGCGTCGAGACACTTGAGCTGACTGGCGAGTGGCTATGGTGCCAGTTGGTTCGTCGATTTAATGGCAATGGCGTGCGGGCCACTTGGTGATGGCCGGTGAGCACGGCGGGCTGGCTTGGGATCGCCGATTTGGTGACGCGTATGGTCGCGTGCGGGCGCACTGAAATGGCTGGCCGGTGAGGCGACGCCGTGCAGCGTTGGTTGCCCGATTTGGTGGCTGATGGGCACGCGGGCCACTTGGTGGTGGCCGGTGAGCGTGCGGACCACGTCATCAATAGTTCGTTGATTTGTCGATCGGTGTCGGATAATCCTCTTTGACTTAGATAATGACGTTCATTATCTTCTCTCTGTCTCGAGCTGTGTGTATATACCTATTGGCATTTTTAGACGCCTACAGTTAGCTTAATAGAAGAGATAACCCATAATAGAACAGAATGAAAGAAGATGATTTATGTAGCCGACCCCAAACACTTGAGATATAAGTTTTGTTATTGTTATTGTATTTGTTGGGAAGTAGTAGTACTATTCTCTCTTCAAGATAATTGCTGGAGTTTTTACCTTAGGTTTTCCAGAATAAAATTTTAGATATATTGTATACCAGATGTTTAAACACAGTTATGTAGTCTAATGTTGTATACCAGATGCTTAAATGCAACTAGTTTTGGACTATTCAGCTTTATGTGCGTACTAAGATCAAAATGTAAACATATATGTTTTTAAATTGTTATCATCTACTATCTAGAAAGGTTAGGTGAGAACCGAGTAAATCCAAGGTCTAGGAGTAGTGCAAAACGGTGATGAAAATCAGTCTTACATGAGTGCTTATATTATGGTAAGATGTGACTAGACTTTGTTTGTGAGAGGCAAAAGGGTTTTGTTGGAAAAATGCAAACCAACTTGGGTAAAATTACTACCTATACTGTTAAGTAATGCATAGTAAAAGGTGATACTTCCTAATATATCTAGCCTTACCTATTCTATAATTGCCAATTTATCATCATCGCATATTGTCTAATGTATCAGTGAAAACATGCTAATGTGGTATAAGTCATGTTGCACTACCTCGTTTTGCAAGTATTGTGGTTTTTCTCTTTCTACTGAACTAAACCCTTAGATCTGAAGGATTGTGGAAAAGCATTCATTTTTTATTTTCTTTTATTTTATTATCTACTATATGAATATTGGTGTAGAAGAAGGTAAACAAAACCGAAAATGATTTTATATCCTCAAATTTGTATTATGGAATGAAAATATAATCTCTCACTCGTTTTTTTTGGATTGAAAACGAAGCTATAATTTCTGTCATTCAAGCTAGTTATAGTTTTGTTTGCCTTTTTTTTGTTCTGCATGAATAACAAGGTAACTTTTTTTTGATAATGTGTTTCATAATCCTTGAAGTGGGAATATACTTGATTATGTATGGTGAGAGACCAAAATTGGATGGTTGCATCTAAGCGTTCTAGCTAGTTATTAGTGAAGGTGATTATTTCTACAAAATAGTATGCAATGTTGAGGTCTCTATTATGCATTCATTGCCTTATAGGTCACATGCTTTATCACCCTTTCATATTGACTTGAATATTTTGGCTTTGTTCTAAAAAAAACTGATATTGTAGAAAAAACTTTGGTTTTGTCATATTTCTTATTTTGCAATAATATTTTCTGCTCTTTGGCCAAGAATTTTGGGCATTTGACTGGGAAACATATATTCCTCGTCCATACCTTAATGTTGCCTTAGCGCCCAAGTTCAAAAGAGAGGAGATGAGCAAGATTAGAAAGTGGCTTGGTACAACTAGTTTTCTATTTTCTATATTCCAACTTTCAAGGAACTGCCATGAACTTCGATTAAATACTTCTGATTTGCTATAAACGTATTAATTAATTAGCCCCAATCACTTTCTGCATTTCCCTTACTGTCTCAAATTTTCAAAAAACTCCCATGGAAATTACTATGGACTTTAAAGTTTTATGGTAGCAACACTCAAAGTTTGTAATTAATTACACCAAAACTCCAAAGTTGTAGTGAGGGTTGAGGCCTATATTTTTTTACCCTAACATGTCCTTACAAGTTAAGCGTCCTCTTATGGGTCGAAACCTAGACTCATGCAACATTATCAGTTTTTTAAAGTCTGCATTAAATATGTGGCTAGTAGGATTTGAACTTGGGTTGCTCTAATGCCATCTTAAAGTCCTGCCATTGTACTAGAACTCCGAAGTTGTGGTGAAAATTGAGGGTTATAAATTTTTACTGTTAACAAAAATAATTTTGAGTAAATAAACATTATGGTATATTTTATTAAAGAAATAAAGAAAAGTTTGTCATAGTGTTTTTTAAAGTCTACCGAAAGTATAAACATCCAACACCCAGCATCATTGTATAGATCCGTCCTTCCCTAGTACAACTTTATAGGTACAACTCCTAACTATCCCCTGGTGACCCCATATTTGTATACTAATCAAACCATCGATGCTATGATATATACATAACTTCTTCCACCACTGTTGACACCTTCCAAACTGTACACACTACTATTCCTTCTTCAACACCAGCCAATCTCCCGATGTCATCTGTTATACGATTTTGATCATGCTGTACATTCCCATAGAAAAGTTACGTAAATGAAATTGAATGATGTCCAAGTACAAAAATCTATATTTTCCTGTCCACATATAAGAATGAGTTGGTGGAATTTCAAAGTTAAGAAAAAAAGAATTTCCCAGCTTACAAAAATCCTAACTTCTCCTGTGTAGATATCGGGATGTGTTGGCGAGGTTTCCAAAAGAATGAATGAATTATGCGAGAGTTTCATAAGAATGAACTACCATAAGTGCACTGTACATGAAGGATGGTAGGAACGATGTAATTTAGAATTATATATGAATGTCATGTGAACAAAACAAACTTAAACTATTCAACTTAAATGCTTGAATTACTGAACTTGATTCTTACTCATGGTTCACACATGTAATAATCTAATCATCCATTCTGCATACTCACCTAGAAGATAGTTGACCGTCAATTTACCGTGATTAGTCTGATGTTTATAAGGAATATAAGAAACATAATAAACCATCACACAGACACACACATAGAGGGTGTAACTGACTTAGTTACATAAAAATACACTATATTGTAAATCCAAACGGTTAATATTATCTAGATGTCATCAAATCTAAGTGGATCACAAATCATGTAGTTTGAAATTTTCTAACCCTAAATTAAAGCAACCCATAATAAATGATATCTGAGACCGTTACAGACCTTTCATTTCTAGGTCATTAGATGTTTCAACTAGGAATATTGAATCTATGTGATTTTTTATCTCAAGTTTTAAATGCATAGATCACAATGGATGGAGTGGATCTTTAATATCATGGTCAAACATGTATTTTACAGATGTGTGTAACTAAGTTAGTTACAACCTTTGTGGTATCCCCTAAAACAACCCCCCCCCCCCCTCACGCCCTCAACCCCCCACACCACACAGACTCCTACACGACAAACATCATAGTAACCCGTCAATTTCATAGACCAGCATGACAACCCATCAGGGTATCATTTCTCTGCATGCATATTGAGTTACATTTCTTAGTTATTCACAAAAGAAACATGTATCACTAAAATTTCACAACTCTTAACATTATTAACGCTAGGTCCAAAACACACGAGTGTATTACCTCGACGTAATATATTTTTATGACATAATTGATTATTTACGAGAACCACAATACTCTTGTTTGTTTAAATCTTATCACTAACTTTGTCCTCATGGACTCCAACATGAATACATGTACAAGTGAACAACCTTATATGATAGATGATAAAATATTTACCAACCCAGTAGCCATGCAGAAATATGTTTCCTATTCCCATCCCGTTGATTTTACCATCATGTCTTCGTTCATCTAAAACAAACCATACAAACACCTTCATAGGTTACAATCTCATCTTCTGATATAATTTAATTAGATTATGGAACATGCTAAGTGTCAAGTGGCTATTGGGTTACTCACATGTGTAGAATGTTGAGTTGCTATGTACACAATATGGCCCACTGTTTGTGAAAGATACGATGGAACTCTATGTACCAAAAGTTGTAACACTCCACTTACTTTTCTGCAGAAGTGAAATGTTTCAAAATATTTTTCAGTTACCATTGCTACAAGATGGTAAAACATCTTTGCATGTCGAAGAAGCGTGGGGCTCATATCCTGCATGCACCATTATATCTGATCATGTTGTAACATCATATGCAAGAGAAGATTCACAAGAAGCAGCCTTAAAACTCACTCCACATACATATATGTTTAACATTATAGAGAAAGGGTCTTAGGCGTAGATTGGTGCTAACTTAGGACTTCTCATAACTCAATCCCCTACTGTACTGTGTGAGCCTGTCCTAGAAACTTCTGTATGTACTACGTAGTTACTGGTGCCTGCATTTCTCTCATATTGCTTGCCATTTGCCAATAAGTCATCAGTTTTCATTTGCATCTGAAGATCATTATTGGAATGAAGGTCTTACAACATAACCTGCCTCTTTTTTCACTTGAGAATATACACCATATAGATATTTCTCTCCTGAGTTTCTTTCAGTGTCAGGAATAACATGTTAGTCTACAGGTGCCACTGAGAAAATACACAGTGAAGATGGTATGAGACCCACCAAGGATAAGGTCTACTCGAAAGGGAAACATAAACACAAGCGCCGCAAACATGGGTAAGCTTATTTTACATGGACCTTGACTTGTCAACAGCTTTGATCTGATATTATGCTTAACTTTTCCGATCACATTTGTTATGATAGGGTGGGTTCCTGCTAGTTAGGTGGAGTCAAAACTTCCCTACTTGAAATCCTAACCATATCTGATACAATTGGATTTACTGTGTCATTTCTGGAATCTCCAACCGTGATTTCATCTTGCTGGGATAGGTTTAACCCAGACCCTTGTCAAGTTAGACTGAACCATGTATTGTAGAAATACACATAGATTAACCATACAGTTAGTTTACTGTAAATACTTGAAGAACTTTAACATTAACCCAAAAATTCTACATATTGACAAGTTTTATGCGTACAACACTTATATCGCAACATCATCATCACGTGTGCTATATGTTTGATACATGTGAACCTAGTCAAGGTGGACTTTCGACCTTTTAAACTTTTGTTCTATGCTCCTTATAAGCACAGGAATGATTTGGACCAGTATTTGGTAGCTGATTACTATTTCAGAGGGGATAATAAAAAACTAGGAAATATTGTAGTTATGAATGTGGAAAACTTTCTAGTTTTGGTTTGGAAATTAGACCCTTCAATTGATTGAGTTACCATACACGAACTGGCTTCAGTAAGTACATGCATAATTTTGACTCTATTGTAACTGGGTCTAGGTTGAGCTACTCTGCTTAAATTTGACCCTGACCAACCTGACCTGGATTCTGTCCTAACGTCTATGGTTGACTCCTGACTGTTTAACCCACGCTGGCGCCCAAATTGTATCCCCACTGAGGACACCATGATTCATTACAGTTCTGAAGAGAAGCATAGTATTCCAAATTAAACCTTCTAAAAACCTCATGTAAGGAATTGATTTTTACCATGTTGATTCCTCCGCAGTTCTAATTGATCTCATTTATACAGGATCGACCTCCACAAAAGCGACTGCCTTTGTGCTGTCTGTGTTGTTAGGCGCCGGAAGCGTGAGAATAATTTGGCGGGTATTGAGAGTCAAAGGAAGATGAGCAATGCAAACCATCCCAGAGAGTTCAAGATAGAGGTTGGTATCGAACTATTAGTATTACTTTCCTCTTTATTTAGGGTACAGCATTTGTTTTAGAGTAGCTAATCTACGGTAGTCTCATGTCGTAAATGTGTACCAGGACAATTAGTAATTTTCTGTTCTCATTTTATTATTGTACAGCATTTGTTTGGATGCAGTCAACGTACTGTAACATAGATTAGAAATTAGTGTTGATAACAGAAGTTCCCTTGAGTGGACTGCAACCAAAATGAGATTTTGTGAGATTAATGGCTATATGCAGTTGTTTGAGGCATGCATACAGAAGATGCTTGCATAGTTCATTCTTTTGCATTCTTGCTGTCTAATAATCGTTATGTTTTGTCTGCAAATCAGAAACAGTGTGTTCCTATACAGCATATGATATTTGTAAATTTTGAATCACATTCTTCCAAGTAAGTGTTTAGAAACTCATAACATATAACTGCAGCAGACTCTCCCTGTCCTTTTCCAGTAGTGAGTTCAACTAGTTTGGATATGTTCTGGTAGTATATTTACCATGTAATATTAGTAAAAACAGATATTTTCAAATAACTGTCAATCAATGTGTCTGGTACACCAAAAACCTAGAGTAGATCCCATGGATCACCGAAATAATCTTGTCCATTTGCAACTTTTTTTGCACCCACGCGCGCACACACATTCATATTGGAGCAAATAAAAAATTGATGTTCATATCCATATTCGAGTCTGATTTCGTATTCTATAGGCGATGACCAATAAGATATGAAGACATGGATATATTCACTGATATCCTTTATCTATTCGCACCCCTAGTTTAGAATCAAAAATGAGTTTAGCTTCCTCAAGTGCTGAGATTGATGTTGAAATATTTCATGCAAGCTAATTTCTTTTCCTACTTCTTATATGATGAAACCACAAGCATTGCAAACACCCCTAGCAAAATCATTTTCGATCTCAACTTGTCAACTCTACTTCTATTTTTATGTTGAAAAAGGTTTTGAGAGAACACCTACTCCTTTGAGTTGTTAGTTGGTGTTTCAGATGTGGTATGAGCTCGTTTCACCCTTTGTTGTCATCTTTTATTCTTTTTTGATACGATAGCAATTAAATCATTCCCAAAGAATGATCCAGTTTGCCATCCCATGTTCCTTCCATAACGATTCATAAAATATGAAATAATGAAAAGAGAAGTAAATTTGGTGGTCAAATCATCTGATGTATGGCCTTGCAATGTGCCCAATTAAGGCACATTGAGTAATCAGTAAGCCAACTACTTGTTTATCTGGTTTTATCTTTCTTGTTGATGATTTATGCTGCTTCTTCATATTCCCACTATTCTTTACCGTATCTAAACACCATGTAGTGCCAAGTTCCAACTCTTTTTTAACAAGCCACAAATGATATAATCAACGAAGGGAGAAAAGAGCTTCACAAACTAGAACCAAACACATTGAGGAGAGATAATGAAGACGCCTGAGCTAATGTTTATTTTATGAAATCTATTTTCTTAGTTTATATTCCTCTTTGGGTTGTAGGGAAGCTCCCCAGAAAATCACGTGTACTGTGACGATGCTACCTCCAGCCAGGACCACTCTCAAGAGACTGATGTGAATGCGGATGTTGAAGAATTCGAGAATGAGGAGAAAATGAAGACCCCTGAGCAAGCAGACACTAGCGAAGCATTAAATCATGAAGCTATGGAAGTCGAAAGAAAAACCCGTCTCTATCCTAGTGGCGGTAGAGAGGATTCTCTGCATCTGGAATCTGACAATGGAGATTTGGAAGACTCCAATAAACATTCACAAGATCAAGAATTGGGTTCGGGCTTTGTAAATGAAACTGGTCACCAAGAAGATGTTGCAGAAATCCATCGAAAGGATCAAGATGAAGAAACAAAGCATCTGGTAAGTTCCAGTTTCCTGTCCTATAATGTATTTGTGCATTTAAACAACTCATGCATATTTATCTTGAAAATTTTTGAGCTGATTATGAGCTGCCCTTGAGGGGTGTAGATGCATGTTATTGATGTAAAACATACTGTCCACTCATTAGAAAGTTGCCCAGTTTGGATCAAAATAAGATTCATCGTTAACAACACTGAACCTGATATCCATATGGCTGATACGTACTTGTTTTTACCTGTTTTAGATATAGAAGTTCTGTTTGCCAACATACCAACCCATGCCTATAGCAAGCATCCATGGAGTCTTACCAAAAAAGGAGAAAAAATAATAATAAAACAAAGAAAAAAAGAAAGGAAAGAAAAGAAAAGAAACACTCAAAACGAAATGTCAAAGCGTTGAAAATTCATACAAACAGAAATGCATCAAATTCATGTTTGGCGGAATCTATCTAGGATAACTTACAGGCTTTTATATTTCTGATCATTTATCCAAATTTATGTTCAATAAGCAAAAAAGATGTTATTGAAGAAACTATTCAGAGAAGCACTTCTGTTTGAAAGCTTAGTACTATCAAGTTGAAGATCATGAGCAGAAATTACCCAAAAGCATTTGTATGTATGGGTTACATTCAAACTTTTTGCATGCTAGAGGATAATCTGCATTTTTTGTGCAGGAAAACCGTTTACAACAAGAAAACCATTCAATCCTGCGGATAAGTAAAAGCCTGTTTCCAAGCAAAGTTGGGTCAGTGTGGAATGGGCCCCATTCTTTGATGCAGCGACATGTAGCATCAACTCGAGATAGTCCCATACATGCTGCATTGGCTGCATTTATGAAGCAATAGAGCTCCATGGAGGTGCTTGTAACATAAGAATCGTTATTCTCCTTGGCTGATATTAGGATGCTAATAGATTCTTGCTGTAGTGCTGCAAAAGAGAATATGTGGAAATCATGCTATTGTATGTAGTACGGTTATTTCTGAGATGACCATTGAAAATGTACAACAAAGTGGGAAGTCAATGCAAGGTCTTATACCAAATCTATTCTTTATACAGTCTTTTGCAAAAGTTATTCGATGGATAAAAAAAGGTTCTGTCAAATTCATAGATTCTTGTGCCTCAGAAATGTGAGAGGCAATCTCCTCCAATCTTAGAAGTTAGAAATTATCTTTAGTCTAAGATTATGTTGACCCTAAATTGAGGTATTATTTGCCAGAGCTCTAGAAATTGTTACCAATATGAGCATCGATTGATTCTTGGAGACAATCCATGTGCTGCTTTGAAGAGGTTGTTGTAGCATATTGCATGTTTCTGCTTTGAAATTAACGCACGGATTTTGTGTTTCGTTTGGTGCCTTCCTAGTATATTAATGGTGGGAAAAATTACCAAATTGACCTATAAAATGACCTATAAAGTGATGGCGGAGACACTTTTTAATATAAATGGTGTTAAAGTTGTAACAAATAGGCATTTCCAATTGTCCGAGGCAAGCTTTGAGTGAAACCTAACGGGTTTTTACGTGGACAAATTTTCAAAACGGACTTCTTTGCCAAAAAATTCCCAAAAACCAACCTGTTTCAAACTTAATTTCAAAAACAAACCCAGTTTCAACGCAAACTGGGTTGGTTTTAAAAAAAAATTTCCAAGCTTCACGGGAGTTGAAGTCCCATGAAGTTTTGTTACGTAAAAAACTTCACGGGACTTCAACTCCAGTGAAATTTGAGAATGTTTTTTCAAAAACCTGACCCAGTTTCAGCCAACTGGGTCTGTTTCTGAAATTAAGTTTGAAACGGGTCTTTTTTTGAGAGTAAGATTCAAAACAGGTTGGTTTTGAAATTTTGTCCGTTTTTACATATATACCCGTCAAACCTCCTATATTTATAAATTTTCTCCCAAAACTTGATAATAGTAAAAATAATTCTGTGAACGCACGTGAAGTGAGAGGCTGGCTAAGATCCAGCAGGCGAAAGCAAACCGCGTGGGAGACTATTGCCCAGCGGGTTTCGATGCACTTATGTGAAGAGATGAGAAGCTCTTCCGTGTGAAGAGATAGAAGTGGTTTTTTCATTGGTTGGTCGAGCGGATAAAGAGAAGGTATGTAAAGATTAAACTCGCGGTTCCCTCAAACTCGCGGTTCTAGTCCCCGCCGTCTTCGCGGCAAAAAAGGATCCTTCTACATCATTGTACCTCTTGGCTTCAACAAAAAGGTATGTAAAGATTAAAGATTTGAACTAAAAACCCCCTCCATGCTCAGCCTTTTTTTCCCTCTCCGATTTCCATCCCAAAACTGAGAGAAATGGCTATGAAAGCCAATTAATCCAAATAAAGAAGTACGAAATCCATCTTCTATCGTGTTGAAGGTTTTCTTTGGGGAAAACTCATCGTTTAGGGTTACCATTTTCCACTTTCCTCCAACTTTATCATGCAATCGACACCCTCACATGATAGAATCACTTAAGTTTTTTTTCAAAGCTTGAATTGACTTGTTCTATCTTGTGATGATGATGGAAATTAAAGGATTTTTCTCTCATTTTTGGCTTGTTCCTTGGGTTTAGTTGGGGATTTTTGTGATAGGTTATTGCTGTTGCAAAAAGCCTCTACCTTTCTCTTGGAAACTCTTTTTTCGTGGTGATCTGTGCCGAAATTAGGCGTTTTTGGGTGATAGAGGGGTTGCTCGGTTTGATAATATTGAGTGCATTCTCTTGGTACTCTTGATTATTTAAAAAAAATTGTTGGTGATATTTATGTCTGGTTATTTTGCAAAATTTTTGCTCGTCATATGTAGCTATAGTTGGAATGATAGGTATTTAACATGAAGAATTTTTCAAAACAGACCCGCTTCAACTTTTTTTTTTCTTAAAACCGACCCGTTTTTTTTATTTATCAAAACCGACCCGATTTTGTAATTAGCAGCTTAATCACATTCCTAAACAGTCGGGGTTGGCAACCCCGACTATTTAGGACATTAATTTTTAGGGTTTAAGGCTTCTAATTAGGGTTTAACACCTTCCTAAATAGTCGGGGTTGCCAACCCCGACTACAAAAAGGTATGTAAAGATTAAAGATTTGAACTAAAAAACCCCTCCATGCTCAGCCTTTTTTTTCCCTCTCCGATTTCCATCCCAAAACTGAGAGAAATGGCTATGAAAGCCAATTAATCCAAATAAAGAAGTACGAAATCCATCTATTTTCGTGTTGAAGGTTTTCTTTGGGGAAAACTCATCGTTTAGGGTTACCATTTCCCACTTTCCTCCGACTTTATCATGCAATCGACACCCTCACACGATAGAATCACTTGAGTTTTTTTTCAAAGCTTGAATTGACTTGTTCTATCTTGTGATGATGATGGAAATTAAAGGATTTTTCTCTCATTTTTGGCTTGTTCCTTGGGTTTAGTTGGGGATTTTTGTGATAGGTTATTGCTGTTGCAAAAAGCCTCTACCTTTCTCTTGGAAACTCTTTTTTCGTGGTGATCTGTGCCGAAATTAGGCGTTTTTGGGTGATAGAGGGGTTGCTCAGTTTGATAATATTGAGTGCATTCTCTTGGTACTCTTGATTATTTAAAAAAAATTGTTGGTGATATTTATGTCTGGTTATTTTGCAAAATTTTTGCTCGTCATATGTAGCTATAGTTGGAATGATAGGTATTTAACATTGGATGATTACGCATGATCAAATGCTTGGTTTTTTTATGTTGGTTACCAGTTATGTATCTTTCCACTAAATTTTACTCAAGTATACTCCTTATCTACACCGAAATCATGAATTGTCAAATTTTGTAAGCTCTCAATCATAAATTATGAATACATTCCCCGTTTTGGCTAATTGTTCTATTTCTAATTGTTTCATCTAAAACCTTTTATCTTTTTTAAGTTTATTTTGTATGAAAATTCTCTCATGGTTCCCTATAATCATTAATGTCATCTGGTACAAATATATGAGCTGCCTCCGAGACATATTCTTATTCTATGACATGCAATTGTTAATCCGGTTGATATTTAAAAAAAAGTTAACTCTTTTTCCTTCTTTTCGTCTACAAATTAATAATATATGCTCCGTATATAGAGTTATCGCTTGGCCTCTTTCAACACTTTTAATTGCAAATTCATCAGGTTCACAAGACCATCAATTACAATCTAGTCTCCCTGTTCATTACATTTTTTTCAAATTATTTTAGGTCTCAAGTGATTCTTCGTCATTTTGTGAAATATTTGGTATTAGATGAGCCTGCAAAGTTATTAGGCTGAGAAAATAAAGAATGTCATATGGTATTAATTCCTTTCACATGACGTTTTCATCAGTTGCGCGAGGGAACCAATTTTTTTGCCTTTAAGGCTGTTTGTCATATGGACAGACCATAGAAAGAGGTACAAGACTCCTATATTTCAGTTGGAATTAAACTCTTTTATGCCTGGAAATTGACAAACCAATATGACATATTGGTTCAAAGTTAAAAGAGTTTATTTCCATATGACATATTGGTTATAGAAAGAGGTACAAGACTCCTATTACTTTCAAATTAGAAGACTATGTTTCTGCTGTTTGTCATATTGGTTCCAAGGCTCCTATTAGTAATGGTCTCTAGCCTTTAAGGCTGTTACGTCAATTTCTATGGTTTGTCATATGAAAATAAATGTCATATGGTATTAATTCCAACTGAAAAATATTTCCAGGCTCCTATAACTCAATGCACCTGATGATGCCTGAAATTTAAGGACTACTTTTCATTTGTGACATCATTTTCATGTAAGAAAAACAAAAAGTTTGCATAATACTATGCTGATATTACCCGTGAAAACAACTGCACAATGTGCGTGCTCTCTTAGTCAGGCACTAGCAGCTAGTTTTTCATTTCTTAAATTGTCTTTTTATGTCTTAACATGTCAACAAAATAAGAGCAGAAACAGTCTTCTAATTTGACCTTGAATACAAATGTACATTTTTTTTAGTATTACTATAGTTTAAGCATTTCTTAAGGTGAATAATAACCAAGGATTAAGGCAACAAAAAGAACAGTAATCAACATATTATGGTCTGTTAAACATCACGTTTTAGAGCATGACTTTTCAGAATTAATTACCACCACTCACGCACCCACAGATGCATGTTGATTGGAAAGAGAATTTGTAGGGAGCATGAGAAAATAGATTTTAGAGACAAGAACGCTACTAGGATGTGAGAATCATATTATTTTTTATTGATGTGGGAAATAAATTGATGAATTTTTATAATAACCACGTGCCCTAATTTTTTTAATTTTATAACATTGTTTTATTTGTTTTATGTAGAATATGGAACCTTCAAAAGCTAGAGATGCTACACTAAGTTGCTTTGCTGCGTATGTGGCGTGTATAGTGTGTGCTTTATGTTGTTTGAGAATAAAAGAGAAGTAACTCCTAGGGAACCAACCGAGTTGAGAGATTCATTGAGAAATGCTTATATCTACCGATTGTTCTATGGCGGCAGAACATTTGCATATGACTACTTAAGAATGGATAGAGGTCCATTTTTTAACCTTGTTCGCATGTTACGAAAGTCTAGACTTCTTAAAGATACCATGTATGTTTCCATCGAGGAGCAAGTTGCTATGTTTTTACACATAGTAGGGCATAATGCAAAAAATTGGGTTGTTGGTATAAACTTCGTACGTTCAGGCGAAACTATTAGTAGGTACTTCAATTTAGTCCTCGTGGCAATATTAAAACTGAGACCATTACTAATGAAGCAAGCGAGTGGTGAGGTATCCGATGAGATTCGTTGTAGATCAACTTGGTACCCTTGGTTTGAGGTAATGTGGATTATTTTTCAATCATTTATATCTATACTTCTTAAGGTAATATGTAATATAAAATGGCGAATTTATATGTTATTTATGTTTAAATGGTCAGAACTGTATTGGTATGATTGATGGAACACACATTGCTGCGTCTGTCCCTGATAATATAGTTGTTCGATTTCATGGTCATAAAGATGGTCCCACACAAAATGTGCTTGGAGTTGTAACACCTAATAAGCTATTTTGTTATGTCATGGCTGGATG